GTAGGGGGGTGGGTGCAGGGGGACAGCAGGCTGGGGCAGGGGGTCGGGGTGCGGGAGGTGTGACGACGCAGTCGGTGTTCCCCCAAATCCTGCAGCCCCGTAGCAGCAAGAACAGACTCCGGCAGTCGTAGAATCGAGAGGGTTTATTGTACCTTTGGGGTACAGCCCAGCACAGATGTGAGGGCTCAGGGCCGGGATGCGTAGGGGGGTGGGTGCAGGGGGACAGCAGGCTGGGGCAGGGGGTCGGGGTGCGGGAGGTGTGACGACGCAGTCGGTGTTCCCCCAAATCCTGCAGCCCCGTAGCAGCAAGAACAGACTCCGGCAGTCGTAGAATCGAGAGGGTTTATTGTACCTTTGGGGTACAGCCCAGCACAGATGTGAGGGCTCAGGGCCGGGATGCCTCAGACCCAGGGTTAGGGGTCCATCGCCCCTAGGCCCCGGCTTAGCCTCTTCTCTCCATGCTTCCCAGCCAGCCACTGCCTCCCTCCCAGGTCCTGCCCCCCAGCCCGGTGCTGGTCTCCACCCTCCTCCCTTTGTCTCTGCCTGGGCGGCTGTGCCTGGGTGTCTGGGTTAATCCACATTTGGGAGAGTCAGTGAGAATCTCCCCTCCCAGCGCAGGGGGCCCCGGGTCCCAGAGCAGACAGCCCCCCCAGAAGGCATATGGGATGCTGGGCTCTGGGAGAGGATAGGGCTGAGGCTTGGGGTACAGGGTGGAGGAGGGAGCAACCTCGGTCCCCCCCCACTCCTGGAAGAGGCCGGAGGGAGCACATGGCTCTGTGCACTGCCCCTCTGCAGGCACCACCCCTGCAGCTCCCATTGGCCACAATTCCCCGTTCCCAGCCAATGGGAGCTGTGGGAGGCGGTGCTTGTAGGCAGAAGTCCTCCGAGCTTGGAGCCCTCTGCTCCCTCCCTCACCAGGGGGGTCGTGCTGGCTGCTTCTGGGAGCAGCGTGGGTTGGGACAGGCAAGGAGCCTGCTTTAGCAGCTGCCCCACTGGAGGTCATGATTGACAGGCAGCTCCACTCGGGGTCTGTGGGCCTTGCAGTGGAGAACAGGAACTAGCCTAGGACATGCCGGCTTCCTGCTGCCGCCCAGCTGAGCTCCTGCCCCCAGTCATTTCTTGTGCCGGCTAGTAAACCTGTGGCCTTCCCATGTCCCGCCCTCTTGGGGAGGGGAATTCAGACTCCATGGAGATCTGGGCTTTTCCAAACCAGCTACCTTCCTGGCCCTGCTCTCTTCTAGCTCCATGGCAGATGTGAGCGTCCCGCTGCTGCAGGTGAGTCCCAGCTGTGGCACTGGTGGCAGTACCTGCCGACTCCCCTGCTCCTTTCTTAGTTAGTTTCTTATTTAGGCCCGTCTCTGGGGCTAACTTTTGCAGACAAATTAGCTTTGATCTTCCAAAATGTCATTCTTCAATTAAGGGCAAAATCTAGTCAAGTTTTGCGTCTGAATTCATTTTCCAAGCCCTCACTCCATTAGGGCAGCTGAGTGAAAGGCTTTGAAATGTAATTGCTGACTTGAAATCCGATTAGAAAAGGAAGCAGAAATGTCTGTGCCCAGACGGAGCTGTTGAGCAGCTCTGAGGCTCGGCACATGGGCCCACCCTGCACCGAGCCGCTTGTGGGTGGAGAAGGAGGCCTCTCCTGGCCCCAGCAGGAGGGGGAGCCCAGGCGGGGGGGTGGGAATGGAAGTGGCGTGGCTTCCTGACTCGTGTCCCTGTCTGGTACGCAGGGGACGGTGCGGCTGTCTTGTGCCCGGGTGCCACCGTGTCGGTGGGACCAGGAGGTGTGCACGGGGGCAGCGGAGCATGGCCGGGTTCTGCCCACGGGGCAGCGCTGATTCGTCACTCAGGGCTGGGAAGAACCCGCCCCGTGGGCAGAACAGCTGCTCCCATGGGCCGGGGGTCCCACCGCAACAGACAAGCTGCTTCCATTGGGTCTGTACCGCGGCGCTGGGGGGCTGGCCAAACCGTTCCCTGGCCATAGCAGCAGACGCGAGGCCCCAGCCTGAATTGGGGAGCCAGAGCTGGTCCCCCATGCAGGCACCAAGCGCCGTGGCCCCCCGTTCCCACTGCTGCCACTGGGCCACAAAGGCCCCGCTGTGTTGCTCATCTTGCTCCCGTGTGCGCCGGGGCTGGTGGGGCTCCACCTGTGAGTCAGACCCAAGGCCGGGCCCAGCAGACCCAGCCCCTCGCCAGGTGGGTCCCCCTGCCCGTGGCCTCGCTGGGGGCTGTGTGTGGAAGTCCGAGTGCAGGGCTGCTCTGCGCTGCGCTGCTCCTGTCCCGCTCAGCACGGGCCAGGCCAAACACTGGGATTGGCTGAGCACATCAGCCTGGCCACTACCCTGAGCTCTTCTCTGCCTGCCATAGGTACCTGGGGGACGGACGCTTCCACCTGGAGTCGGTCATGATCGCCAACCCCAGCATCCCTGCCTACAGGTACTGCAGCCAGCGTCACACGGGGCACTGCTGGGGGCGGCTCTGGGATTTCCTGCGTGGGTACAGCCCCTCCCTCCCAGTTCTGGCTGGCACTAGGGCCTGGCTCCCCCAGGCCCCCCATCCCCACACAGGAGCTGTGGCAGCGCTGCTGCCT